AGATGTGTTACATAGTAAACCATACATTTAACTTTTTTTGTTTTTCCATTTTCTTTGGGAAAGCCCTATAATTAAGAAATTGAATATTATGATTTGTAAATTAAAAAGGGGGCGAATTTAAAAAAAGAAGATAATATTAAAGGAATCACATTTAAATAACTAGTTTTACTAAGTTTTTATTAAGATGAAAAGACTGGTCATTTGCTTTTAATAAGTTTTTAAGGCAGTAGTATATTTTAAATAAAATTTAAATTTGTACTGACCTCTATAGTCATAATCTAAAATGGATTTATTGATGGAGAGAATTCTTATTGAATATTATTATACCCCCGCACAACAAAGTTGTAAGGGGGGTATACTGGAATCAGCTTGTCCGGCCGTCCGTCGGTTTTTTCTTGTCCGCCCAATAACTTAAGATTCCTTTGACCCTTAGTCTTCATAATTGGCATGGAGGTTAGTCATGATAAGTAGATGACCCCTATTGATTTTGAGGTCACTAGGTCAAAGGTCAAGGTCACACAGGCCTTGACTACAAAAAGCTTGTCCGCCCAATAACGTAAGATTCCTTTGACCTACAGTCCTCATATTTGGCATGGAGGTTAGTCATGATTAGTAGATGACCCCTATTGATTTTTAGGTCAAAGGTCAAGGTCAAAGGGGGCCTTGACTTCTAAAAGCTTGTCCGCCCAATAACTTAAGATTCCTTTGACCCACAGTCTTCATATTTGGCATGGAAGTAAGTCATGATTAGTAGATGACCCCTATTGATTTTGAGGTCACCAGGTCAAAGGTCAAGGTCACAGGGGCCTTGACTTCAAAAAGCTTGTCTGCCCAATAACTTAAAATTCTTTTGACCCACAGTCTTCATATTTGGCATGGAGGCAAGTCATGATTAGTAGATGACCCCTATTGACTTTGAGGTCACTAGGTCAAAGGTCAAGGTCACAGGGGCCTCGACTTCAAAAAGCTTGTCCGCCCAATAACTTAAGATTCCTTTGACCTACAGTCGTCATATTTGGCATGGAGGTTAGTCATGATAAGTAGATGACCCCTATTGATTTTGAGGTCAAAGGTCAAAGTCACAGGGGCCTTGACTTCAAAAAGCTTGTCCGCCAAATAACTTAAGATTCCTTTGACCCACAGTCTTCATATTTGGCATGGAGGCTAGTCATGATAAGTAAATGACCCCTATTGACTTTGAGGTCACCAGGTCAAAGGTCAAGGTCACAGGGGCCTTGACTTCAAAAAGCTTGTCCACCCAATAACTTAAGATTCCTTTGACCCACAGTCTTCATATTTAGCATGGAGGCTAGTCATGATAAGTAGATGACCCCTATTGATTTTGAGGTCAAAGGTCAAGGTCACAGGGACTTTGACTTCAAAAAGTTTGTCTGCCCAATAACTTAAGATTCCTTTGACCCACAGTCATCATATTTGGCATGGATGTTGATCATGATTAGTAGTTGACCCCTTTTGATTTTGAGGTCACTGGATCAAAGGTCAAGGTCACAGGGGCCTTGACTTCAAAAAGTTTGTCCACCCAATAACTTAAGATTCCTTTGACCCACAGTCTTCATATTTGGCATGGATGTTGATCATGACTGTAAGGTGACCCTTATTGATTTTTGAGGTCACAGGGTCAAAGGTCAAGGTCACAGGGACCTTGACAAAAAAAGCTTTTCTTCTTAATTGCTAAAGAATGTCCTGTCCGCAATGTATTGATTTTGACATTTTCACATTTGAAGCATGTAGAATACATAACTTAGCAATGCACTGGCTTAGTAACCTCAGATTTGGCAGGGAGGTTGTCCTTGAGCTCTAAATGGCCACTGTTGATTCTGACAAAGTGGTATGCGGGGGTATTCACGCCATGATAGTGGCAGTTCTAGTTATTATTAATTAGTGTTTGAAGTTTTTTTTGTACAATAGAAAGGCAGTATTTTAATAACAATTTATTTAGGAAAATCGTCTTTTATTCAGATGAGTAAATTGATCGAGTGTTTGTATCTTATAATTTTAATCAACGGTCGCACATACATTGGTAAGTGTGCTGTTATTTTGTACCATCCAAAAGTACCATAAACAGCACTAGAAAGTCAAGGAAATAACATCATTTTCAACCTCATATTTCAAAATTTTCTTAGTCTATGGGAGGGGACACCCCTCCCAGGCCCACCCCAATTAGTAGTAATTTACAAATATTTTTCTTAATTCCATACCATCTGAATATTTACAAAAACATTAGTATACTGTACACATGTATAAGCAAAGTACATTGCCAAAATGAGCTATAAAAATGCTGCATTCGCCTCTTGCATTATTTTTGTCAAAATCTTACACCTATATGTCAGCCCCCCCCCCCAGGAAACCATGTTCTGTATCCGCCCCTGCGTGTATTATCCTATAATATCAAATAAACAATGGAATGCTTGGCCCCTACTGAGATGGTGTATACGCTTGGCTTGTTGACATTTAGACAGCATTGAATTAACCTTGAACTTGATCAGCAAGTAAATAAATTGTAACAATTAGATATAATTTGTTTATTTAAAATAAAAAAATGCACAACAGAAAACATCTTCACTAATAGGGTTTTTGTGTTGGAGACGAGGAAAAACAACAGAGAAGTTAGAAAATTCTGGAAAAATGTCAAACAAACACGTAATGGATCAAAACTGTTTTGTCAATAAATATCAGAAAGTTATTTTTTATGCCCCCGCCATGTAATGGCCGTTCAGTCCTTCCGTCATTCCGTCATCATCAATTTCCGTTCATTATCTTAAGAACAGTTGCACACATTCAATTCAAATTTGACATATTGATATGTCATGAGAAAATATAGGTCAAGTTCCAATTTGGTCATGGTTCGATGATTTTTGGCAGAGTTATGCCGCTTTTACATTGAAAATGATATGAAATTTTCAGTTTCCGTTCATTATCTCCCCAACGATACAAAACATTCAACTCAAACTTGACATATGGATATGTCATGAGAAAATACATGTCAAGTTCGAATTTGGCTATGGTTCGCTGATTTTTGGCAGAGTTATGCCCCTTTTACATTGAAATTAATATGAAATTTTCAGTTTCCGTTCATTATCTCCCCAAGGATACAACACATTCAATTCAAACTTGACATATGGATATGTCATGAGAAAATACAGGTCAAGTTCGAATTTGGTCATGGTTCGATGTTTTTTCGCAGAGTTATGCCCCTTTAACTTTGAAAACAATATGAAATTTTCAGTTTCCTGTCATTATCTCCCCAAAGGTACAACACATTCAACTCAAACTTGAGATATGGATACGTCAAAGGAATGCGCAGGTCAAGTTTGAATTTGGTCATGGTTCAATAATTTTTGGCAGAATTATGCCCCTTTCACTTTGAAAATAATATGAAATTTTCAGTTTCCGTTCATTATCTCCCACATTCAACTCAAATTTGACATATGGACATGTTTTTGGAATTCCCAGGCCATATGGATACGTCAAAGGAATGCGCAGGTCAAGTTTGAATTTGGTCATGGTTCAATGATTTTTGGCTAAGTAATGCCCCTTTCACTTTGAAAATAATATGAAATTTACAGTTTCTGTTCATTATCTACCCAACAGTGTTACATATTCAACTCAAATTTGACATATGAATATGTCAAAGGAATGGGCAGGTCTGAAGTTGGAATTTCTTCATGGTTTGATGATTTTTTGGCAAAGTTATGCCTTTCACTTTGAAAATAATATAGAATCTGATACATCTTAAGAATAAGCAGTTTAAGTTTGAATTTGGTCGTGGTTCAATGATTTTGGACAAACTTATCTTTCCTGAATGTTGGAAAAATTTTGAACTTACAGTTTCAACACTCATACTTTTGTATAAATGTATGTAGCCATTATTTTGGCTACAAATATGCAATATTCTATTTTTAAAAGGTTAAGACTGAATAATTTCAGTGCCTTGAACATTGTATGAAAATGGTTTGTGTTAATATTGAAAAGTTTTAAGGGCTTTGAACTTAAAATGAAAAAAATAGTTTGTGCAAACAAATTTGGAACTAAATATTATAACATCTGAAATTTTGGCTGCATGCGGGGGCATCCGTGGCATGATGACACATTTCTAGTTTACATTTAAAACATCCATTTAGATTATTGGAGCATACTTTTTATTCAACATTTATATAAATGAAGTTGAAAAGCATTCCCACCGCAAAAGAAAGATGTCATTTATTAATTTTGACTTTTATATCATGCTTTGTCTAAAGAGACCGCTTCATTAAGCAACCGTTTGGGTGTTTCCCTTGCGTGAGCGTTTAATACACATTTCACTGTATTTGTAAACATTGAGATATATAAAATAGAAAAAAAAACGGTTAACAATTAAATGCAATGTTGCTTCTTTGTGTGGCAGGGCGCCAGGCACAAAATACAACACACGTTACTTTTCATATTTTCTTGGGTGAAAGGTCAACACGCAATAAAGTTATGATTTGTCATGTGGCTGGTTTTCGCCCCGTAAAGCAAAGATACGACAAATTGTTGTAAAGACATCATACAACAAACTGTTTTAAAAACATGATACATAGAATCTTATGGCGTGTTTTTATGTGGCAGGGTGAAAACACGTCCAAATTGCAATTTTCGCCCCGCCACGCAAAGAAGTATTTTTGTGTTTTTGCATTTTTGCCCCAAAAACCTGTTGATTGGACATGGCACAAATCAGCCACCATATTTAGCAGTTATTATACATGTATGTACTATCAAGATTGTTTAAATCATATCCCTCAGGTAAAATTTTACCAGGACCACCCGGTTCTGTTTAGCAAATGAAATCAAGATTTGTTATTGAATAACCTTGAATATGACACAGAAACCTACTTCTGCATTTAAAGAATTATGTCTGTTTGTACAAGTAGCAGTACATCTCAGAGTGATCTAGAACTGTCTAGTTTTATTACAGAAAACTAGTTTTAAGGAAACTTTGAAACATAATTTTCTGTTAAAAGGTATAAGAATGTATGATGTGCACAGCACACAATCAACACAGAAACTTGGATATTCAGAAGAACTGGTATTGACTGAGAAGTACCCATGCAACAAATATGTTGCCCTTGTGACATCAGAAGTTGGCCAGTTTGAAAAAATACAGACCACTCAATTAATTAAATCTAAAGACCTACAGAAGTCTTGTGCTAACATATTTGGTAAGATGTTTAGGAACGGATTGTTCAGAGTTGGCTTTGCATTACCCACAAGTGACACAAATTTGGTAGGAAAGTTAGAGGCAATTATTGATGGATTTCAAGACATAACACAGTTCTACGATAATATGCCAGATTCTGAACTTATATTTGGTGTGAAGACAGAAGCTGAGAGGTGGATGCAGGAGGTTGATTATATAAGTACCCTCAAGTTTGCCCCTTATGTCAGACGTTATATTTCACCTAGATATAAAGGTAAACTTTATCTCAGAACTTTTTTAAATATTTTTCTTCTTTTGTTATTAAGATGTAATTTTGTGGTTTTTACATTTTTACGATTGTGCATAAAAGACCTTTTTTATGAGGATGTTACTGAAAAAAGATACTTTTCCTAACCTATGTTGGTTTTAGTACTAAAAAGGATTTTTAAGATTTTAATTAGGGATGGCAACAAATACAAAAATCAATACTCGAGTACTCGGTCATTTTTCCGATCGAGTACTCGATTACTTGGATGATTTCCAGTAATCTTCAAAGTTTATCTCACAGTATCAACACCGTCCGCATGCTACTTTCGATTTCTATTTAAATTCATAGAATTCATAACTATAAATAGGATTGCATGGGAGACAAATTAATTAAAATTAATTCAAAACATTATATTTTACAAGGTTTTAATTAATGCAATATCAAGTTTAAAACATGTATAACAGTTCATATACCTTTTTATACCCCCAAAAACGAAGTTGGGGGGGGGGGAAATAGGAGTCACCCGGTGGTCGGTCGGTCGGTCGGTCCAGACGTCCGTTGCATTTTCCTTGTCCGGAGCATAACTTGAAGACTAATGGTTGGAATTCAATATAACTACATACAATGGTCAAGCACATTGAGAGGAAGTGCAGTGCACAAGAACCATAACTCTATCTTGACTAATTACAGAGTTATTGCCCTTTGTTACTTTTCCTTGTCCGGGGCATAACTTGAAAACTACTAGTTGGAATTCAAAACAACTTCATACAATTGTCAAACACAATAAGGGGAAGTGCAGTGCACAAGAACCATAACTCTATCTAAAGTAATTACAGAGTTATTGCCCTTTGTTACTTTTCCATTGCTTTTTTTTTGTCCAGACCATAACTTGAAGACTAATAGTTTGAATTCAATATAACCAGATACAATGGTCAAGCACATTGAGAGGAAGTGCAGTGCACAAGAACCATAACTCTATCTTGACTAATTACAGAGTTATTGCCCTTTGTTACTTTTCCTTGTCCGGGGCATAACTTGAAAACTACTGGTTGGAATTCAAAACAACTTCATACAATTGTCAAACACAATAAGTGGAAGTGCAGTGCACAAGAACCATAACTCTATCTAAAGTAATTACAGAGTTATTGCCCTTTGTTACTTTTCCATTGCCTTTTTTGTCCGGACCATTACTTGAAGAGTAATGGTTGGAATTCAATATAACTTCATACAATGGTCAAGCACATTGAGAGAAAGTGCAGTGCACAAGAACTATAACTCCATCTTGACTAATTACAGATTTATTGCCCTTTGTTACTTTTCCTTGTCCAGAGCATAACTTGAAAACTACTGTTTGGAATTCAATACAACTTCATACAGTTGTCAAGGACATTAAAAGGAAGTGCAGTGCACAAGAGCCATAACTCCATTTTGACAAAATACAGAGTTACTGCCCTTTGATACTTTTCCTTGTCAGGAGCATAACTTAAAACATACTGGTTGGAATTGAAAACAACTTCATACAATGGTCAAGCACAATAAGAGGAAGTGCATTGCACAAGAACTATAACTCTATCTTCAGTATTTATAGAGTTATTGCCCTTTGTTCCTTTTCTTTGTCTTTCTGGACTTATTACAGAGTAATTCAATTAAACTTCATCAATGGCCAACCACATTGAAAGGAAATGCAACATATAAGAACCACAACTATCTTTAATTGCCCACAACCATAACTCTATATTTCAATTCTTTTACAAGGTATTCTGTTACTAGTAACATCCTCATTTCCGAAGCAGTCTTGTGGGGGTATTAATCACATTTAGTGATAGTTCTAGTTTGTCTTGAAATAATATAGACTGATCGGCGGCAACAAAAGTTTAAAAGGGGTCTTAGAGTACTAGTTACCTTTATTCTTACATTCGTAATAGCAATTGGCTTTTTGTTGTTTTCAAAACAGTTACTTCCGCTACAAACTGTTACACAATTAAAGGAAATTGAATATCATAAGAGCTGGATGACATAAGCGACACAGGTGCACGTGTCAAACTGTTGATCGCCTTGTTAAATTTATGATATATTTTTCGCACATCTGCAAGGATGTTTTGATTGCATTGAACAGGTATTTATGAAGATACATGCATATCTCGGAATTTCTGAACTAATTGGACACACCAATCTTTCAAAATCGTTAAAAAATATAAATTATATATTTTTTTCCGAGTAATCGAATATCAATTTCGTTAACCGATATTCGAACGTCCGATCGAGTACTCAGTTTACCGGTTACTAGTTGCCATCCCTAATTTTAATCTTTACTGAACATTTTTATGCTCCCCGAAAAATTTCGGGGGAGCATATAGTCGTCAGGTTGTCCGTCCGTCCGTCTGTCCGTCCGTCCGTCCGTACGTACGTCCCGAATTCGTGTCCGGCCCATAACTTTGTTATTTGAAGTCGGATTTTAAAATTATTTCACAGATATGATCACCATATTGAGACGACGTGTCGCGCGCAACATTTGGGTCGCTACCTTGAAGGTCAAGGTCACAGCATGACCTTGCAGCAAAATTGTGTCCGGTCCATAACTTCATTATTTGAAGTTGGATTTTAAAAATATTTCACAGAAATGATCACCATATTGAGACGACGTGTCGCGCGCAACATTTGGGTCGCTACCTTGAAGGTCAAGGTCACAACATGACCTTGCAGCAAAATCGTGTCCGGTCCATAACTTCATTATTTGAAGTCGGATTTTAAAAATATTTCACAGAAATGATCACCATATTGAGACAACGTGTCGCGCGCAACATTTGGGTCGCTACCTTGAAGGTCAAGGTCACAGCATGACCTTGCAGCAAAATCGTGTCCGGTCTATAACTTTGTTATTTGAAGTTGGATTTTAAAAATATTTCACAGAAATGATCACCATATTGAGACGACGTGTCGCGCGCAACATTTGGGTCGCTACCTTGAAGGTCAAGGTCACAGCAGGACCTTGCAGCAAAATCGTGTCCGGTCCATAACTTTGTTATTTGAAGTCGGATTTAAAAAATATTCCACAGAAATGATCACCATATTGAGACGATGTGTCGTGTGCAACATGTGGGTCGCTTCCTTGAAGGTCAAGGTCACAGCATGACCTTGCAGCAAAATCGTGTCCGGCCCATAACTTCCCTATTTGAAGTTAGATTTAAAAAGTATTTCACAGAAATGATCATCATATTAAGATGACGTGTCATGCACAACATTTAAGTCGCTACCTTGAAGGTCAAGGTCACAGCATGACCTTGCAGCAAAATCGTGTCCGGCCCATAACTTCCTTATTTGAAGTCAGATTTTTAAACTATTTCACAGAAATGATGACCATATTAAAATGGTGTGTCATGCGCAACATTTGGCTCGCTACCTTGAAGGTCAAGGTCACAGCATGACCTTGAAGCAAAATTGTGTTCGGCACATAACTTCATTATTTGAAGTCGGATTTTACAACTATTTCACAGAAATGATCACCACAATGAGACATTGTGTCGCGCGCAACAATTGGGTCGCTACCTTGAAGGTCAAGGTCACGGTATGACCTTGCAGCAAAATCGTGTCCGGCCCATAACTTTGTTACTGGAAGTCGGATTTAACAACTATTTCACAGAGATGATCACCATATTGAATCGACGTGTCGCATGCAACATTTATGTCACTTCGTTGAAGGTCAAGGTCACAGCATGACCTTGCAGCAAAATAATGTCAGGCGCATAACTTTGTTATTTGAAATCGGATTTTACAACTATTTCACAAAAATGATCACCATATTGAGACAATGTGTCGTGCACAATATTTGGGTTGTTTTTACACTTTGAACTTTGTCTGTGACATAACTCTGACACAACAAGAGGTACTTCCTGTGTCCAAAACCTATTCGGGGAGCATCACCCGGTTCAACCGGCTCTTGTTTCTATAATGATATGAAATTCAATTTCAGGCTTATTTAGCAGTCCAAGCTTACGTGTACAGATACAAAAGAAATCTATTCTTGAGACAGGAGTAAGTATATTAAATCCACACCTATTTTCCCATTAAAGTAAACCTTACCATGACAGTAACCTAAGGAGCTGAGCAAATTTTAATTGCTTGCTATTGTTTACAATTTTAATGTTTGTCCTTTTTTCTTGGTTTAACTGAATGGCAAGCGCATTGAATATCCTGATACATGTAATTCAATCGTGTCAATGTTTACCATATCCTCTGTTGAGCAATTAAGGGCCATCATAGGCCTCTTGTATTCCTTTTTTCAGGCACACTGTATAGTTGTAGCAATTTCCCGGGATCTAGATCTGTCAAGAGGCATTGTCTCAAAACTTGTGAGTGAAGCTTGTGGTGAACAGTTGCAAGAGGAATTACATTCTAAAGATAAAGAATATTTAGACCCTTGGGAACTTGTTATGTGCCAGTCATATAACATGTCTAAAAATGGAATACAGAAGGTGATATTTGGTTTCATACCAGAGTGGAAACATTGCCAGAAAATAGGGGTTAGTTTCTTGTTTTTACTCACAAATTGTTTAATTCTTATTTTTATGGGTTTATTTTTGCTCCTTGTAAAAATTTTGAGGTGTAATTTTGGTATTTATTTCATTTGTGTTCATTACAGGACTTTGGCCTATTTTGTTCTTTCTATAATTTTGAAGTGTTATTTGGATGTATCATTTTCTTCTGTTTTCATTCTGTAAAGGGATTTGTTGAGGGTTCTTTTGTTCTTTAAAGTATTTAAGGCTTAATTTTTGTTCTTAATTTGAGGCCTAATTTTCTTTTATTTTTGTTTTCAATGTAATTTAGGCTTAATATTTAGCTCACCTGTCACAAAGTAACATGGTGAGCTTTTGTAATCGCTTTTCATACGGCGTTCGTCCGTTCGTTGTCTGTTAACTTTTACTTTAAACAACATCTGCTCATAAACCACTAAGCCAATTTCATCCAAACTTCTCAGGAATATTTCTTTGTTGGTCACCTGTATAAATTGTTCAAAGAATTTATTCCAATCAGAACTCAGGTTGCCATGGCAACTGAAAAAAAAAACTTGAATATTTTCTTTAAAAAAAATCCTGATAGCTAGAGCTTAAATATTTGACATGAAACATCTTTTTCAAGGAGGGTTTACCAAATTTGCTGAAATAAAAGCCCTGGGGTCAAAATTAGCCCCTGCCGGGGGCGGGGGGATGTCATTGATTTTCTCTACATGTATATACAGTCAGGATTCATTACAACGACACTGTTGGTTCCCAAAGGATATGTCAGTATATCAAATTTGTCAGTATATTGAATTTCATCATTCATCATGTAATGATATGCTTATTCACTGGTATCTGAACATTATGTATTTAGATCTATAATTAACATCTAATGAAAAAGATTTTTGTGTTTATGTGTTCACTTCATTACACACATTACATATCGGACACATAATACAACTACATCATTAAAATAATAACTACTTATTATATAGTTAAAGATTTTTATGAAAATGATTAAACTTTATAAAATAAAAAGCACATACAATGATAGGACTTTTAAAAGTTAAATCTTTAAAAATTGATTGCACACTGTTTGTTGTCATAATTTGGCAAGTGTAACAAAATTCAGCTGACAACAACATGTGTAACAATCAACTGACCAAGCTACAATACCTGTTTTAACACCTTGCGGCTTTTGTTTTATACGCGTGCTTGACTAACCAAGTGTCAGTTTAACGGGTACTGATTGTATAGAAAATAACATGTTTGGTTTCCAATTTTATTGTGTCGGAGTCGGAATACGAATTTTCCGTTATAAAGGATTATAATAACGTTGAAAAAATTTGGTTCCCACCAATTCACTGTCGTTATTTGAATTTTTCAGTATAATGGATTCCGATGTATTGAGTCCTGACTATAGTAAAAACTTGAAAAATCTTCTTTTAAAAAAACCCGAATAGCTAGAGCTTAGATATTAAGCATGAAACATCTTCTAGTGAGTGTCAAAAAGTTTGTTTAAAAAAAGCCATTGGGTTAAAATTGGCCCTGTCTCAGGGGATCATTGATTTTCCTATTATGTATATAGTAAAAACTTAAAAATCTTCTTTTAAAAAATCCAAAAAGCTAAAGCTTAGATATTCAGCATGAAATATCTTCTAATAGGTGTCTATCAAGATTGTTCAAATTAAAGCCCTTGGGTTAAATTTTGCCTGCCCCAGGAGGTTATTGATTTTAATATTTCTAGTAAAAACAAAAATAAAATCTTCTTTTAAAAAAACAACAAATAGCTGGAAGTTAGATATTAAGCATGAAACATCTTCTAATGGGTGTGTACCAAGTTTGTTCAAATAAAAGCCTGGGGTCAAAGCTGGTTCTGCCCAAGGGGGTCATTCATTTTCCCACCCAAGGGGGTTATTGATTTTCTTTATATGTATATAGTAAAAACTTAATAAATCTTCTTTTTAAAAACCCCAAGGAGCTAGATGTTAGATATCAAGCATGAACAATATTCTTATTGGTTTCTACCAAGTTTGTTCAAATAAAAGCTCTGGGGTCAATTTACCCCACCCAAAGGGGTTATTCATTTTCCTTATGTTACAATAATATTGATAAAATTAAGTAAAAATTTATAAAATCATCTTTTACAAAACCTAAAGAGCCAGAGCTTAGATATTTGGTTAAACAATATTTATTCTTCAATATTTACAAACAAAATTATAGTATATAAATTGCATTCAGGATTGAGTATAGAAAGCTTATACAGTCAACTATCGTTATCTCGACATCGCTTTTCTCGATATTTCGATGAAATTTTGAAAGTCCCGATTTTCTTCCTTCTTTATCTATATTGGAAATATTTTTTTATCTCGATATTTTTATTTCGATATTTTCAGTATCTCGATGTAAAATTTCAGCCCCAACAGTTATTTTCACACTATTATACTTTGTTTATCTCGACCAATAGTTTTCGTTCGTCTGTTCCCTTCAGACGTGTGAAAAACATAAAATAGACGATAATTGCTCAATAGCACGCGTCATAATGATGATTATGTTTGTAACAAGTTTAGCTGCTTTTATAAAAGTTGATCTATTTAGCGTGTTGATTGACTTATGTCAAAAATGAGTGAATTTTACGTTCTTTATAAATATTCGAACACTATTTAAATTCATTATGACTTCAAATGTTAATGAAATAGTAAAAGTATAGAAACGCTATCATTGCAATATTGTTTCACAACATCACCACCAATCAATCAGCGATCGAACAATCTCGAGACCCGATAAATAACCCGGAGGATATCCAGATCAACCACCCTTAAAACAAAGTTTTCACTTTATTGGTGTATTACTGAGTAAACCTCACTATGTGTTTTTATCACAGACATCCGTATTTCCGCCAGTAAACATCCGCTAATGTTACTTTGTTAAATTTGACCAGGCCTATGGAAACAAGACATGGGGATATCATAGTTTATTTGACATAAGGTATGCACATGTCTTTTTGTAAAAATCAGTTTCTGCCTTATTCAAACCCTAATATGTTTATCTCAACATTTCGTTATCTCGATATTTTTTGAACGGTCCCAATGACTTCAAGATAACGAGAGTCGACTGTATGAATCTCTCTCCTGTAAAACATATAAACAATTTATTTTACTCACAACATAATACAGTTTTTGTAATTACAGTTCATTGTACCTGCATTTAATTCCTTCCATATATTTACAAGAAGATAATAAATACCTACTATGTATGACATAATTTGTAAAGGATCATAAAGAAGAGCTGAACATGTCAAATGTGTAAGATGCAATTCCTTTATCAAATTTAAATAAATTCTCGACATGGAAAAAAGGGTGATATAAGACCAAAAAAAAAAGAGATCAGAATGGAAACACAGAAAGTGGAGAAAGGGGGTCGCTGTGAGTGTGTTTCCTTGTGACAGTATGCTATAATTATTATAGAATATAATAAAGAAATACATGAAACAAAGGCTATGGAAGCAAAAGAACCAGGGTAACTCTTAAGAAACGAAATGAGGAGCGCCCTTACTTGCACCATACCTTATAAATTTACTACAAAGTGGCATCAATTTTCTATTTTAAACACATAGATAAGAGGATATTACAAATTCCAAAGTAATATAATCTATTTAATTAACATTTCAAATTCAATGTATGCATTGTGAAAGCGTCTGCATGCATAGCCCAGTGCAGAATTGTTATCATAATGAAAGAAAACTATTTTGTAAAACTAGATATTTAGCAAAAACTTAGATATTTAGCATGAAACGTCTTCTAGTGAGTTTCTACCAAGTTTGTTCAAATAAAAATCGTCCCCCTTGGGTTCATTGATTTTCCTTACATGTACACATCTCTTTACATCTGTTGTATTCCCTTTGCAATAGCAACCAGTAATGTTTTTACACATGCACTATTTCAGAAATCTTAATATGAAATTTGTGATATCAATTTTTGATTAAGATTTTATATCTGCTTTTGTTTACAGTTAATATTATTACTTGTTCCTTGTCATGGAGTTTTTATATTCAGTTGAGCGATTTCAGGGCCATCATAGCCCTCTTCTTTTCCGTAATTTATTTTAGGCGGTATTTTTTTCTATCAATGTTCTTTAATTGACTTTGAGTTGTAATTTTCTTCTATTGTTGTTCTTTAAAGGATTTGGAATCGTTTATAGAAGACTGTTTACTTCTGGCAGACAGTGCAGGTTGTTCAACAGTGGCATTTCCTGCTTTGGGTACTGGAAATTTAGGGTATCCATATCGAGATGTGGCAGTGGCATTGTTCAATGGAGTAGACAAATATGTGGCTGAGGGAATAATTGGAGGAATTTCAACTGTATACATTTCTGTACCACAAATAATTAAAAAGGACGTTGAAATATGCCAGGTTTTGTTGCTTTAAGTACATTTTTAGCTCACCTGTCACAAAGTGACAGGGTGAGCTTTTGTGATCGCTTTTCGTCCGGCGTCCGTCCGTCCGTCGTCCGTCCGTCCGTAAACTTTTACTTTAAATGACATCTCCTCATAAACCACTAAGCCAATTTCATCCAAACTTCACAGGAATGTTCCTTTGGTGGTCACCTTTAAAAATTGTTCAAAGAATTTAATTCCATGCAAAACTCTGGTTGCCATGGCAACCGAAAGAAAAAACTTTAAATATCTTCTTTTAAAAAACCATAAGAGCTAGAGCTTAGATATTTGGCATGAAACATCTTCTAGTGAGTGTCTACCAAGTTTGTTCAAATAAAAGCCCTGGGGTCAAAATTGGCCCCGCCCCGGGGGTCATTGATTTTTCCTATATGCATATAGTAAAAACTTAAAAAATCTTCTTTTAAAGAACCCAAAGAGCTAGAGCTAAGATATTTAGCATGAAACATGTTCTAATGGGTGTCTACCAAGTTTGTTCAAATAAAAGCCCTGGGTTGAAAATTGGCCCCGCCCCGGGGGTCATTGATTTTCCCTATATGCATATAGTAAAAACTTAAAAAATCTTCTTTTAAAGAACTCAAAGAGCTAGAGCTTAGATATTTGGCATGAAACATCTTCTAGTGAGTGTCTACCAAGTTTGTTCAAATAAAAGCCCTGGGGTCAAAATTGGCCCCGCCCCGGGGGGTCATTGATTTTCCCTATATGCATATAGTAAAAACTTAAAAAATCTTCTTTTAAAGAACCCAAAGAGCTAGAGCTAAGATATTTAGCATGAAACATGTTCAAATGGGTGTCTACCAAGTTTGTTCAAATAAAAGCCCTGGGGTGAAAATTGGCCCCGCCCCGGGGGTCATTGATTTTCCCTATATGCATATAGTAAAAACTTAAAAATCTTCTTTTAAAGAACTCAAAGAGCTAGAGCTTAGATATTTGGCATGAAACATCTTCTAGTGTGTGTCTACCAAGTTTGTTCAAATAAAAGCCCTTGGGTCAAAATTGGCCCCGCCCCGGGGGTCATTGATTTTCCCTATATGCATATAGTAAAAACTTAAAAAATCTTCTTTTAAAGAACCCAAAGAGCTAGAGCTAAGATATTTAGCATGAAACATGTTCTATTGGGTGTCTACCAAGTTTGTTCAAATAAAAGCCCTTGGGTGAAAATTGGCCCTGCCCCGGGGGGTCATTGATTTTCCCTATATGCATATAGTAAAAACTTAAAAAATCTTCTTTTAAAGAACTCAAAGAGCTATGGCTAAGATATTGAGCATCAAACATGTTCTAATAGGTGTCTACCAAGTTTGTTCAAATACAAGCCCAGGGGTCAAAATTGGCCCCGCCCCGGGGGTCATTGATTTTCTTTATATGTGTTTAGCAAAAAACTTTAAATCTTCTTTGAAAAAACCCAAATAGCTAGAGTTTAGATATTAAGCATGAAACATCTTCTAGTAAGTGTCTACAAAGTTTGTTCAAATAAAAGCCCTGGGTCAAAACTGGCCCGGCCCCAGGGGTGTCATTGTTTTTAACTATATGTGTATAGTAAAAACTTTAAAAAAATCTTCTTTTAAAAAGCCAATGAGCTAGAGCTTAAATGTTTAGCATGAAACATTTTCTTATGGGTGTCTACCAAGTTTGTGCAAATAAAAGCCCTTGGGTTAAATTGGCTCTGCAACTTTGGGGGGGGGGCTGGGGTTGGGGGGGCCTGTATACAGCGTGAGCGACCTCAGGGCCATCATGGCGCCCTCTTGTTTATGTAATACATTGTGAATAGCAAAGATTTTAAAGCAGCATGCCTCCAGATTTTTGCTAATTCTCATGAAAATTTGAAGATGTATGTAAAAGTAAACTATTGTAAAGCGAACAAAGAAAATGATTTATGATACACATTGCAAACACCACTTACTCTCTCTCCCTTTGATCGAGAGTAAATTACTTATTCTCTAATCTAATATAATAAAACAAAGACAAACATAGGAATGACACTGTATTTGGCAGTAATTATCAACAATTCAATCGAGCAAATTCTTTTAAAGCTACATTAAATAAATATGTTAAAATATTTTTGCCTTCGGCCTAAAAACCAAGAATTCTACAGTTTCATAAACCTTTTTAACAGTATCGTTGTAAATCTCACTAAATATTGTTCATAAATTAGGATTTTAAATGGAAAAACCCCACGGTAACACTAAAGTTCGTATACGAAATTTAACATGCAAATGAAGACTTTAATCAGCTCGTGTATGCGCTACGTCACGGTGTTTATAATAGTTGCTATCCGGAACACAGCAAATTTAAGATTTTCTTGTGCAAACACACTTTTACCGTTTAAGCTTCACGGTGCACTAGGCCTGTGGTTCAGAAAAAGTAATCATCTCATAAAAAAGATTAAATTTGTATTAAAATATCCGTTACAGTTAAATTAGGACTGCTACTTATAGTCATGTTTGTTGATTTAATATTGATGTACGGATGATCTGAAGGCGGAGTTTCTCATGCAAACAGAAATTGTACTTCCGAATTCGCCACAATGAGGTTGCACATTTGTATGCTCATTAAACTCACTTTGGTTGTCTGGACACCAAAATAATATCTGGAGTCGATATGAAACCCAATTTATTAATGAAATGTCGCTATTCCTCTTTATATGAAATTTATTTAATGTTACTTTAACATTAATCTTGTCCAAGTCAAACAGCATTTCTGTAGAATTCTAATAGGCACTGAAACAAGACTAACACTAATGTTTATAAAATACCGTGAAAATGTATCGAGATGTTACAAACTGAAAAGAAATGTTGTCTTAATATTGTCAGTTTACCAATTAATAGAAATAAAATATATTTGTACATTTTTTAAAAAAGATGGGCAGGAATATGTAAAGTATGCCAAAATACTTGTGTCGTGTGAAAACGAGGGTACAAACAGGTCTATAAATACCAGATATTCAGGAAAATAACGAGAAATTCATGAGCAAAACTAAAACATCTTAAGGTGGTACACACCTAAGCAGTTATTATATCAGAAACAAGAATAATTTCATTTACAAAACATGTAAATTAAAAGAAAAGACCAAAAGAAGGTTAAAATATACAAAAATAGTCCTTTAACTGAGTAAGTCATGCAGAAGAAATTGGTGATGATTACACCAAAATCACTTATTATTCGCATATAAAGTAAACTGTTACTTGAATCTTTTTAGTTTCTTAAAATGTTCGTACATTTTTCTCAAGATTTATGTTTTTGAAAATATTTTGGCTGATCTGGAGGCATGCATCATTATGATAATATTGCTTTTAACTATAGTAAGTGGGGTCTTTTTTTAACTTTTTTAAGTTGAAGCAGGGTTTTATTATTAGCTTGACTTTTTTTAAAATAACTATGCATAAATGTCAACCACAGCAAGACGATGTGTCGTGTCCAAGAGTTACGACCCTACCTCAAAGTTCAAGGTCACAGTAACATTTTGAAGTTTCACATTATCACAAATAGAGTTAATAGATACACACATTGGTGTCCAGACTGTAACTTTGTCATGCATTGAAGGATTTCAAAATAACTTGGCATAAATGTTAACCACATCAAGACGATGTGTGACATTCAAGAATCACATACCTACCTCAAAGGTCAAGGTCACACTACCATTTTGAAGTTCACTTTATCATAATTGAGTTTATATATACACACATTGGTGTCTGTACTGTAACTTTGTCATGCATTGAAGAATTTTTAAATAACTATGCATAAATGTCAACCATTAACATGACATATTGCGTTCAAGACCCGTGTCCCTACCTTCAAGATCAAGGTCACAATAATAGTTTGTAAGTACTCATTCTCTTGAGAAGAGTTTGAAGATACACTCATGTCCGGACTGTAACTTTGTCATGCATGGAAGGATTTTAAAATAACTTGGCACAACTGTTTACCACATCAAGAGGATGTGTTGTGGCTAAGGCTTATGTACGTCTGTCCGTGTGTCCCCACTTACAACAACAATCATGTCCAGACTGTTACTTTGTCCTGCCTTGAGGGATTTTGAAATAACTGTGCACAAATGTCTATCACATAACAATGTTGTTTCATGTCCAAGAACCACGTCCCTTTTCAAAGGTCAAGATCACATTTATATTCTGAAGGTTCACGCTATCACAATTAGAGATTATAGTTACACACATTTTTGTCCTGACTATAACTTTGTCATGCATCAAAGGATTTTAAAATAACTTGGCACAAATGTCCACCACATTAAGATGACATGTTGTGTGTAAGACCCATTTTTATGCCCCCGCCATGTAATGGCCGGCGCATATAGTGTTACCCTGTTCCGTCATTCCGTCCTTCCGTCATTCTGTCATTCCGTCATCATCAGTTTCCGTTCATTATCTTAAGAACGGTTGCACACATTCAACTCAAATTTGACATATGGATATGTCATGAGAAAATACAGGTCAAGTTCGAATTTGGTCATGGTTCGATGATTTTTGGCAGAGTTATGCCCCTTTTACTTTGAAAATAATATGAAATTTTCAGTTTCCGTTCATTATCTCCCCAAAGGTACAACACATTCAACTTAAACTTGACATATGGATATGTCATGAGAAAATACAGGTCAAGTTCGAATTTGGTCATGGTTCGATGATTTTTGGCAGAGTTATGCCCCTTTTACTTTGAAAATCATATGAAATTTTCAGTTTCCGTGCATTATCTCCCCAAAGGTACAACACATTCAATTCAAACTTGACATATGGATATGTCATGAAAAAGATACAGGTCAAGTTTGAATTTGGTCATGGTTCGATGATTTTGGCAGAGTTATGCCCCTTTTACTTTGAAAATCATATGAAATTTTCAGTTTCCGTGCATTATCTCCCCAAAGGTACAACACATTCAGCTCAAACTTGACATATGGATGCGTCAAAGGAATGCGCAGGTCAAGTTCAAATTTGGTCATGGTTCAATGATTTTTGGCAGAGTTATGCCCCTTTTACTTTGAAAACAATATGAAATTTTCAGTTTCCATTCATTATCTCCCCAAAGGTACAACACATTCAGCTCAAACTTGACATATGGATGCATCAAAGGAATGTGCAGGTCAAGTTCAAATTTGGTCATGGTTCAATGATTTTTGGCAGAGTTATGCCCCTTTCACTTTGAAAGTAATATGAAATTTTCAGTTTCCGTTTATTATCTCCCCAATGGTACAACACATTCAACTCAAATTTGACATATGGATATGTTTTTGGAATGCCCAGGCCAAGTTTGAATTTGGACATGGTTCAATGATTTTTGGCAGAGTAATGCCCCTTTCACTTTTAAAATAATATGAAATTTACAGTTTCTGTTCATTATCTACCAAACAGTGTTACATTCAACTTAAATTTGACATAATATGGATATGTCAAAAGAATGGGCAGGTCAAGTTGGAATTTGGTCATGGTTTGATGATTTTTTGGCAAAGTTATGTCCCTTTCACTTTGAAAATAATATAGATACATCTTAGGAATAAGCAGTTTAATTTTGAATTTGGTCGTGGTTCAATGATTTTGGACAAACTTTACTTTCCTGAATGTTGGAAAAATTTTGAACTTTCAGTTTCAGCACTCATACTTTTAGCCATTATTTTGGCTACAAATATGCAATATGCTATTTTTAAAAGGTTAAGACTGAATAATTTCAGTGCCTTGAACATTGTATGAAAATGGTTTGTGTTAACATTGAAAAGTTTTAAGGGCTTTGAACTTAAAATGAAAAAAATAATTAATGCACCATCTGAAATTTTGGCTGCATGCGGGGCATCTGTGGCATGATGACACATTTCTAGTTCAAACTCCAAGGTCCAGGTCACAATAATAGTTTGAAAGTACTTATGCTCATAAGGAGTGTACATTAGTTTCCAAACTGTAACATTGTCAAGCATTGAAGGATTTTAAAATAACTTGGCATAAATGTCTACCACATCAAGATAATGTGTCGCATCCAAGACCCTTGTCCCGAGGTGTTAAGTTTGCTATAAATAGCACTTCATTTCATAAGAACAAAATTAAACAATTAGTTACTTTCATTCTCTTTTCTTTTCATAATACCTGGATGTTAAAGAAACCTTTTCAGGGGCATTCTTCACTTGCGTTGCAGCTCTTATTCTATCTGTGGACATTTAATCTTCTTTTTTTACCAATGACTAACATCTTCTTTTATTTGTTTCCGTAGATTTTAGAGAGAGAGCAAGAGAGAAGGAAATCGGCTGAAACTACCTCTGGAAAACAGCATCAAGCAGAGGGTAATATTTGATAAATACATTTTTCCTACTGCTTGATACTGGCGGGAATATTATATCAAGTCATCTTTTAAATAGCACTGTTTGAACCACAATATACCATCAGTTTAGATACATGTATATGCTGTATGGAGATAGTAAAATATCATGAATGTTGCCAAATTTTTAGCAAAAGTAATTTACTGGCAGTAGCAAGTAAGTAGAGGTTATAACATGGGGCAAGTGTGCATTTAGTCCATATTGGCACACTTGGGAACTTATTTGCCCGAGGGCAAATAAGTCACTAAGTGTGCCAATATATTATTTGCTGTTTCTCCATACTGTGAATTATAAGGGCAACCAGTGCCTAAATTAGTACCATACACATTTGTGAATTCATTATATTCCTGTACCTCAACACTGCTTAATAAATGATAAATAAAAACACATTGCTTTGCATGAATTGTTCCTGAAATATAAGCTGAATTTTTACTCTGATGGTTTTGTCAACTAAAAGGCTGTCAAAAGTTTTATACATGTATAATTCTGTAGGATTTTCAGCAAGTTCTTTAGACTGGAAGACTGCATCAAACCATTCACCAAAGACAAGACTGTGTCTGAATATTACACTTGCTGGATGTAAACATAGTGACATTAAGAGGGCCAAGGATGACATCACACAGTATATAGAAGGAATAGAATATAATGATATAGATCCTGACATGGTAAACACCACTAGATACAGATATTGTAGTATTGATAATAAAATTTTTATGCCCCCACAAAGTGGGGTGCATATAGCGTTGCACTTGTCCATCCGTCTGTCCTTCGGTCCGTACGTCTGTCAATCCGTACGTCCCGAAATTTTGTGAACACAACTCCTCTTAAACCGATGGCAGATTTTGCTTAAACGTCTAGAGATGAACAACCTTAATGTGTAGATGGAAGTAAAGGAAGGAATTTTTGCTGTGACCAAATTTAACAGAATTATGGCCCTTTGTTGATTTTTTCACTATTCTACCATATAGAAATTTTGTGAATGCAACTCCTCTTAAACCAAGTAGCAGATTTTGCTTAAACTTCTAAGGATGAACAACCTTAATGTGTAGATGGTAGTACAGGAAGGATTTTTTGCTGCGACCAAATTTAACAGAATTATGGCCCTTTGTTGATTTTTTCACTATATACCATATAGAAATTTTATGAACCAGCTCCTCTTAAACCAGATGGCAGATTTTGCTTAAACTTCCAGGGATGAACAATCTTAATGTGTAGATGGAAATAAAGGAAGGAATTTTTGCTGCGACCAAATTTAACAGAATTATGGCCCTTTGTTGATTTTTTCACTATATACCATATATATGTTTCAGTGGGGGCATCCGTGTCCTTTGGACACAGTTCTAGTTATTAAAGTATTATTTCTGTCAAAGCAGATATTTAGTCAAGTAAGGAACTAAACAAAGGAAACATTTTATATGAACTAAATTAAGGAGGGGTTTCTGGTCTGAACTTGAGCATCTCCATTTAATTGTACAACATTTTTACTTTCAGTTGAAAGATAAAAATGAAAATTTGTAGCATTAAGTACAATCCCAAGCTTTTAATATATGGGATTCCATCAAGATACATTATACAAGAGATTACATCAAGATACATTATACATGAGATTCCATCAAGATACATTATACATGAGATTCCATCAAGATACATTTTATATGAGATTCCATCAAGATACTTTATACATGAGATTCCATCAAGATACATTATACATAAGATTCTATCAAGATACATTATACATGAGATTACATCAAGATACATTATACATGAGATTACATCAAGATACGTTATACATGAGATTCCATCAAGATACATTATACATGAGATTCCATCAAGATACATTTATACATGAGATTCCATCATGATACATTTTACATGATATTCCATCAAGATACTTTATACATGTGATTCCTTCAAGATACTTTATACATGAGATTCCATCAAGATACATTATACATAAGATTCCATCAAGATACATGAGATTCATTCAAGCTACATTACACAAGAGATTCCATAAAATACATTAAAACATGAGATTCCATCAATATAAATAATAGAAGAGCATTATTCATGAGACTCCATCAAGATACATTATACGTAAGGTTCCATCAAGATACTTTATACATAAGATTCAACCAAGATACCTTATACATGAGATTCAATAAAGCTACATTACACAAGAGATTCCATCAAAATACATTAATACATGAGATTCCATCAATATAAATAATAGAAGAGCATTATTCATGAGACTCAATCAAGATACATTATACGTAAGGTTCCATCAAGATACATAACACATGAGATTTAATCAAAAACATAAGTCATGAGATTCCATCAAGATACTTTTTACATGAAATTCCATCAAGATACATTACTTATGAGATTCAGTTGAGATACCTTATTCATTAGATTCCATGAAGATACATTATATTAGAGATTCAATCAATGTGCATTATACATGAGATTCCATAAAGATACATTACACAAGAGATTCCATCAAGATACATTATACAAGAGATTCCATCAAGATACATTATACATGAGATTCCATCAAGATACATTACACATGAGATTCCACCAAGATACTTTATACATGAGATTCCATCAAGATACTTTATACATGAGATTCCATCAAGATACAATACACATGAGATTACATCAAGATACTTTATACATGATATTCCATCAAGGTACATTATACATGAGATTCCATCAAGATACATTACACATGAGATTCCATCAAGATACTTTATACATGAGATTCCACCAAGACACTTTATACATGAGATTCAGTAAAGATACATTATACATGAGATTCCATCAAGATACATTTTACATGAGATTCCATCAAGATACAATACACATGAGATTTCATCAAGATACATTACACATGAGATTTCATCAAGATACATTACACATGAGATTCCATCAAGATATATTACACATGAGATTCCATCAAGATACATTATACATGTGATTCCATCAAGATACATTACACATGAGATTCCATCAAGATACATTATACAAGAGATTCCATCAAGATACATTATACATGAGATTCCATCAAGATACTTTATACATGAGATTCCATCAAGATACATTACACATGAGATTTCACCAAGATACTTGAGATTCCATCAAGATACATTACACATGAGATTCCTTCAAGATACATTATAAATGAGATTCCATCAAGATACATAACACAAGAGATTCCATCAAGATACATTATACATAAGATTCCACTAAGATACATTATTCATGAGACTGCATCAAGATACATTATACATGAGATTACATCAAGATACATTATACATGAGATTCCATCAAGATACATTACACATGAGATTCCACCAAGATACTTTATAAATGAGATTCCATCAAGATACATTACACATGAGATTTCATCAAGATACATTATAAATGAGATTCCATCAAGATACATTACACAAGAGATTCCATCAAGATACATTATACATAAGATTCCACTAAGATACATTATTCATGAGACTGCATCAAGATACATTATACATAGAATTACATCAAGATACATTATACATAAGATTCCACTAAGATACATTATTCATGAGACTGCATCAAGATACATTATACATGAGATTACATCAAGATACATTATACATGAGATTCAATAAAGATACATTATACAAGAGATTTCATCAAGATACATTACACATGAGATTCAGTTGAGATACCTTTTTCATTAGATTCCATCAAAACACAGTTAACATGAGATTCCTTGTCAAGCAGATATGGTTACATTATAAAGGTGCATGTACTGAAAACAACTATTTATTTTTTGTCATACTAACTCATTAATCGTCCAATAGGTACCTATTTTAATTTAGAAAATTACATGATGTATACTGCTCTATTGCTTTTAAGCTACACATTGGCTGCAAAAATTATTGTTTGACTTTTTAAAAATTGTATTTCCAAAAAAATGGTTTTATTTTAAGAAATATGGTTGCAAATTGACGTAAAAGTAGAATCGTGCATGCACCATATCATAGTTAAACCATTACAATTCTTATTAAAATGGCATCATAATATTTTATTATGGAACATTTTATTCTGCTTACGTATAATATTCATGAGTGTTGAATAACAGGCATTTTATGTTACAAGCAACATTTTTTTATGAATCAACCATCAGATTATAGAAACAAAAATTTAAAAAAAAAAATTCATATTTGTCATCTATTTCCCTTTAGTATTGTTTTTGCCACAGTCATATAAACACCTTGATGTTCAATATACAAGTATTATCAGCTGAAGCTTAAACTTTTATAAAAAAGAACATGATTACTATGTAAAATGTCCATGTGTTGAAATTTATTTTTGAATTGAAATAAATAAATTCTAGAATATTTTTAAATTTCTTTTTTTCTGTAGATTTTGGACCTAGTTTCTGCAGAACTGAACCCAGGCATTGCAAAGCATTTAGTACACAGAGATCCAAATAATTTCCAAAAATGGAGGAAAGAGTTATCCAAATTTTTTAATGTTTATTTTTGGATAAACAAAGGTATTCCAAAGATAGAGATTTGGGGATCTTTTGACAGCATACTACAAACTGAGCAGTACTTTGAGAATGAATTTCCAATGTCACCATTAAAGAGTGAAATAGCCCTCCTAGAAATCCATGATCAGCACTATGAGCAACCCAAGTGGGTTACACTGACAATAACTGCATCAGCGGAAGAAATTGCATGTATTAAAAAGTTTTTGAACAATGAGGTTGAAAGTCTGAAATCAAACAAGGATCTTCGAAACCTAAATATGTTTGAGGACAGACTGACAGTCATGTGTGCACCTTCTTTCCAGTCTGAAGCAAAATCAAAGATGCAAGAAATGATTGATGAAGTAAAGAAGTTACCAAGCCAAAATGTCAATCTAGGTTCAAAAAAGGAAGAAGATTTTGTTTTGAAAATGGATTTTCAAGATAGCATATTGTGCTTACCAGTATCAAATGAAAAACATCATTCAATCAAAGTAATTGGTAAAGACAAAGTATTGGTAAAAGGAGCATGTCAAAAGATAAAGCTGAACAGTGAGCAAGGAAAGTGTAGGCAGATGGATGTTTCCTTTGAGTTTGAAAAAGCGACCTTCAAATTCAAGAAACTTGAAATGACTGTCCTTTGCCATGACATAACAAATATTGTGGTGGATTGCATTGTATCTCCTGTGAATAAGGTAGTGTCCACTGAGACAGGTGTTGCAAAATCCATAGCTAAAAAGGCTGGGAAGTGTTATAAAGGGCAATGCAAAGCCATTGGTGATAAAAGGACACTTTATTTAACAGAATGTGTTGAAACAGAATCAGGACTGTTGCAAAAATGCAAATATGTGATACATGTCTATAGCCCACTACGGTGTGAAGCAAACAGACTGAATGAACAGCTTTTAGACATTGAATATTCAGTAACAAACTGTCTTAAAAAGGCAGATCAGTTGCGAATGACTTCAATAGCAATTCCATTTCTTGGTACAGGTAAGGGCACTTTTTGCTATCCAGGCAAAAATATTCCCCTTTTCTCAAGTGCCATTTTTCTCTGTTTCAACTAAGAAATGAAGAAAAAAATAGAAATGAGTGGAATATAATTAGTGCGTAACTTGTTTCTTGGTTGTCTGCAAATTGGTAGTCACTTAACTACTATTATAATTCTATTTTTATCAAGTCACTAGAAAAGTTGCTTGTGACCATACTGGTAATTTCGTCTTTTACAATTCACTTTTATATTGTTTGATTTTATTAACCTCTCAATTGCATACTTATTGTAGTAATACAGTCAATGCATACAGTATAGTAATCTTTGATAAATGTTTGGCAAATTCTGTAAGATGTTCGTAGTAAGATGTGATTAAATTTAATTTGTTTCTATAAAATAATTATACTGACCTTGTGGTCCTCTATGAAAGTTGCATAAATCATGCTCCTTAGGTTCAAAATTGGCCCTGCCCTGGGGGTTACTTAGATAACATGCTAGCAAGGCTTATATAGGAAAAGACATCTAAGTCCTTTTTTATGAAACTGATATGCCTAGAGCTCGAAGTATTGTCTAGTGGACCTCTACAAAAGATATATACCAGTAATTCATGATCCTGGTGTCAAAATTGGCTGCTCTCGTGGGTCACTTAATTCATCTTGACTTGTTTAGTAAAAATAACTTAAAAGACTTACCTTCAGAAACTACAGTGCCTAGAACTTTTGATATAAAGGATCACCTTGTGGTTTTTACAAAAGTAATTGTAATCATAGTTTGGGTAATAAGATTTATAAAGACTTGTAAAGGAAAATGCACTTAAGTCTTCTTTTGTGAAACTACAATGCCAAGAGCTCAGATATTTGTATGATAGCATTGCCTAGTAAACATCTACAAAAGTGATATAAGTCATGCCACAGGGGTCAAAATGGCTCTCACTGGTGGTCTGAGTTACTTTGTTTATTTTAAATACATTGAAATTTTCTGTTGTGAAACTTCAATGCCAAGACTTGCCTAGTGGACAACTACAAAAGTTATAAAAATCATGCCCCTGGGGGCTAAATTAGCACTGCTTTGGGGGTCACTGATTTACAAAGACTTAAAATCTTCTGTAAAATTACAATGCCATAAGCTTAGATATTTTACTTGCAGCATCACTTTTTGTTTTGGTCCTCTACAGAAGATATATAAATCATGCTCCTCTGATCAAAAGTTGCCCGTTGATGGAGGCCTCTAAGCTTATAAAGACTTGTATATGAAAATAGATTTAAGCCTTCTTTTGTGAAACTACAATGCCAAAAGCTTATAGATTTTTAGCATGCAGCATTGTCTTGTGGACATTTACAAAAGTTATTAAAGTCATGCTGCTAGGGTCAAAAATGGCCCGCACGGGGGGTCACTTATTTCATATAGACTTGCATAGTAAAATATTAATTTATTAATTGTTCTTCAGTCAAATTACAATGTTATGAGCTTAGACATTTGTCATGAAACATTTCATCATGGTAGACATCTACAAATACTTAAAAAATTAAATTATGCAGCCTGAAACAAAAATGGCAATCTTAACCCAATGTGATCTCATTTCTAGCTTTACCCTTTACCCTCTAGCATTAATTGTTGGTGAAGGCCATCAAGAAACTTTTGTTTAAAGACATGATTATTTAAATATTTTTGTTGTAGTACACATTCTCATCCAATGTGAACAAAGATATTCATGCAAATATATTTATGATACTTTGATCTTTAAATCTATTTCAGGGACAAGTAACTTTCCAATAGATCATTGCGCAATACAATACTTTAGAGCTGTTGATGCCTTTAAAGATGCTGAAACCTTAAAGAAAGTTATGTTAGTTGATATCAGTCAAGAGAAAGTCACCAAGGTTTGTTCTAAGATTTCAAAATGTATAAGCATGAGTGCTAACATCTTGTCAGATGCAGTATTAGCTGTCAAGGCTTCCAAGTCACTTGTCAGATACCACTTTGCACATAAACTGATGCAAGAAGTTGATACAGATGCAGTAGTCATGAAAGTAGATGAGAACCTAAATGGTCATGGGGAAGATGTGGAACTTATTCTAGCCCGTGCAACTCAAAGGTTTAAAGATGTGTACAAGGAGCAATGTAGAATATCACATACTTGCACCACTGTTGTTCCAATACAAGCTGATCTGGAAGGACTTAGATGGAAATTTGTCTTTTTTGCTGTTATCCCAGTTTTGAAAGATGATCCTGTAAATTATGAGAATTACCTCAATATCACAGTTCAACACATTCTTCAGTATGCATCTGAACAAGATATTTCAGACATAACACTACCTATCTTAAGCTGTGAAGGTAAGAATAACTTGTTCCTATTTTTGAGTGCTTTTTAGCACTCTGTCTGTATGCTTTGCGCATGTAATTTTTCATTAAATCATTATGCCCACCTTAACATTCTTTCAATATATAAAAACAAAACTATATAGGGATGTACCTGTGGTAATCTTTTTTCAAAATTATTCAAAAAATTTATAATGTGCCAGAGATGCAAATAGCAACCATAAAGAAAAGCTTAAACATTTTCCAATGAAAATCAGCTTGATTAATATTATATCTGTTGGTCAGATTTATAAATGATGGGTCAAAGTTAGCATATTCCTATCTTGTCAATTGTGCCTCTGGGAAAATTGGCCCCACCTTAGAGGTATCTTTCTTTATTAATTTAAACTTGTTTAGGAAAACGCAATTAAATCTTTTTCTGGAAAATAAAAATGCCTAGAGCCTAGATTTTTGGCATGTATTATTCAGTAGTGGACCTATACAATTGTTTAATTGATAAACTTCCATAGATTAGTATGATTTAGGGTCCTTAAAATGTTCATTTCTGCGTTCACTATGATACTAAATGTGTTATTATTATTGTGCATTTAATGGGTATGCATTATGAAATCTACTCATTCTGTTATTGTTGAAGAAAAATGGGGGATATAGAAATGGTTCAATTTATCTGTCTGTCCATCCTCCACACTTCCTGTTCGGTCCATAACTCAGCCATCCATAAGGGATTTTGAAATGACTAATGGCACAAATGTTCATTATACTCAGATGAAAAAAGGGGCGTCTGTGGCCCAGTGGTTAAGGTCGTTGACTTCAATCCACTTGCCCCTCACCGCTGTGGGTTCGAATCCCGACAGGGACTTTGGATTCTTTCATGTGAGGAAGCTATCCAGCTAGCTTAAGGAACGTCGGTGGTTCTACTCAGGTGCCCGTTCGTGCCTGAAATAATGCACGGAAGAGCACCTGAGGTCTTCTTCCACCAGTAAAGCTGGAACGTCGCGATATGACCTATACTGTGTGAAGTGACGTAAAACCCAAAACAAAAAAAATAATCAGATGATGTGTCATGGGTAGCTCATACACCCCTTACATCAAGGTCAAGGTCACACATTGAGATACAAGGTAGACATTGATTGGTGGGTGAGTGTATATTTTGGGATCTATGATAATTATCTTAAGATTATCTTTATAGTTATTAATATAAGATGTTTTGCTAGCCATTACACTTTGTCGGCCCATTCCCGAAATTGGCCAATCGCAGCAAAAATAGCCTGTTACAGGGTATCAAATGGAATGTTGAAATGCTAGGGGGATTTAAACAATCTTTTACATTGTTGCATTGCTTTGATTTCAGGTTTTTTTTTCTCCTTGTGTTTAGTTAGATACCAGTGTTTGTTAGTGTAGGGCATATAAATATAATTTTTATGTTTTTGTAGATGTTTAATGGGTTGAATGAGTACAAATACAACAAATACAATGTAAATCTTGTTCTTATTTCTTTGTGGTCTTGTAGTGTATGTTAAAAAGTTTCTTGTTTGCATTTCAAACTTTGTTGCAGATATAACACTTGGTAGATTTTTTACTTATTTCAGAAAAGTAGACATCCTTTGTTGTTATACCCCCGCACAACAAAGTTGAAAGGGGGGTATACTGGAATCAGCTTGTCCGTCCGTCCGTCCGGCCGTCCGTCGGTTTTTTCATGTCCGCCCAATAACTTAAGATTCCTTTGACCCTTAGTCTTCATATTTGGCATGGAGGTTAGTCATGATTAGTAGATGACCCCTATTGATTTTGAGGTCGCTAGGTCAAAGGTCAAGGTCACAGGGGCCTTGACTTCAAAAAGCTTGTCCGCCCAATAACTTAAGATTCCTTTGACCCTTAGTCTTCATATTTGGCATGGAGGTTAGTCATGATTAGTAGATGACCCCTATTGATTTTGAGGTCGCTAGGTCAAAGGTCAAGGTCACAGGGGCCTTGACTTCAAAAAGCTTGTCCGCCCGATAACTTAAGATTCCTTTGACCTACAGTCGTCATATTTGGCATGGAGGTTAGTCATGATTAGTAGATGACCCCTATTGATTTTGAGGTCGCTAGGTCAAAGGTCAAGGTCACAGGGGCCTTGACTTCAAAAAGCTTGTCCGCCCGATAACTTAAGATTCCTGTGACCTACAGTCGTCATATTTGGCATGGAGGTTAGTCATGATTAGTAGATGACCCCTATTGATTTTGAGGTCGCTAGGTCAAAGGTCAAGGTCACAGGGGCCTTGACTTCAAAAAAGCTTGTCCGCCCGATAACTTAAGATTCCTTTGACCTACAGTCGTCATATTTGGCATGGAGGTTAGTCATGATTAGTAGATGACCCCTATTGATTTTGAGGTCACCAGGTCAAAGGTCAAGGTCACAGGGGCCTTGACTTCAAAAAGCTTGTCCGCCCAATAACTTAAGATTCCTTTGACCTACAGTCGTCATATTTGGCATGGAGGTTAGTTATGATTAGTAGATGACCCCTATTGATTTTGAGGTCACCAGGTCAAAGGTCAAGGTCACAGGGCCTTGACTTCAAAAAGCTTGTCCGCCCAATAACTTAAGATTCCTTTGACCTACAGTTGTCATATTTGGCATGGAGTTAGTCATGATTAGTAGATGACCCCTTTTGATTTTGAGGTCACCAGGTCAAAGGTCAAGGTCACAGGGGCCTTGACTTCAAAAAGCTTGTCCGCCCAATAACTTAAGATTCCTTTGACCTACAGTCGTCATATATTGCATGGAGGTTAGTCATGATTAGTAGATGACCCCTATTGATTTGAGGTCACCAGGGCAAAGGTCAAGGTCACAGGGGCCTTGACTTCAAAAAGCTTGTCCGCCCAATAACTTTAGATTCCTTTGACCTACAGTTGTCATATTTGGCATGGAGGTTAGTCATGATAAGTAGATGACCCCTATTGATTTTGAGGTCACCAGGGCAAAGGTCAAGGTCACAGGGGCCTTGACTTCAAAAAGCTTGTCCGCCCAATAACTTAAGATTCCTTTGACCTACAGTCGTCATATTTGGCATGGAGGTTAGTCATGATTAGTAGATGACCCCTATTGATTTTGAGGTCACCAGGTCAAAGGTCAAGGTCACAGGGGCCTTGACTTCAAAAAGCTTGTCCGCCCAATAACTTAAGATTCCTTTGACCTACAGTCGTCATATTTGGCATGGAGGTGAGTCATGATAAGTAGATGACCCCTATTGATTTTGAGGTCACCAGGTCAAAGGTCAAGGTCACAGGGACTTTGACTTCAAAAGTTTGTCCGTCCAATAACTTAAGATTCCTATGACCCACAGTCTTCATATTTGGAATGGAGGTTAGTCATGATTAGTAGATGACCCCTTTTGATTTTGAGGTCACTGGATCAAAGGTCAAGGTCATAGGGACTTTGACTTCAAAAAGTTTGTCCACCCATTAACTTAAGATTCCTTTGACCCACAGTCTTCATATTTGGCATGGATGTTGATCATGACTATAAGGTGACCCCTATTGATTTTGAGGTCACTGGGTCAAAGTTCAAGGTCACAGGGACCTTGACAAAAAAAGCTTTTCTTCTCAATTGCTAAAGAATGTCCTGTCTGCAATGTATTGATTTTGACATTTTCACATTTGAAGCATGTAGAATACATAACTTAGCAATGCACTGCCTTAGTAACCTCAGATTTGGCAGGGAGGTTGTCCTTGCGCTCTATATGGCCACTGTTGATTCTGACAAAGTGGTATGCGGGGGTATTCACGCCAAGATAGTGGCAGTTCTAGTTTCTTTCTGTTTTCAATCATTGTTGTATTAAGTTTAAAGTATTAATGATGTTTGAAATTTATATATTGAAACTATTGTTTTGTCTGTTCTTCAAAATGTGCCTTGGTGTTGCTAATTATACTGTAATGTACAGTCCTTCTCGTAGGAATAGGTTCTGCATTTTTTTTGCATTTTTGATTTGGCAAAATGAACTTATAAACATTTTCTCATAGTTTGTTCCAAAAAATTGTTTTTGGAATTTTATTGCATGTCCACGGGTATATTTTGCTTTATTAATTGCACGGTCTTGATATAGAAATATTTCCCTGTTAATTATATTTTAACATAAATATTGATGTTCATATATCTACATTTTATACAGCTTTACCTCTTGATGAGGTTTTATGAGGTCAGATTTCATTAGGTTCACTAAAGGCCTAAACAGACGGTAGGATTTTGAAGTACAAGACCAATTAAAACTAAGATGTACAGGCAAATCTTAATGTGTGAAGGCTTATATTTCTTGAATTCGGAAACCTTAAGTCTATATGTAAGGGATGGGACATACAGATTTCTACAGACCTCCCACATTGACAAGTGACAGATTACCAAATTATCTCCTGATAATGGGTGTAATGAATGAAATTCCAGAACAATTAGGGCTAAAAGGTTAACATAGTAGTAAGATGGGGTAAAAATGATGTTGAAAACTCTTAAGGAGACCCAAAGTTGTGTTATGTTGGAATCCCAAAATATTCCGAAAATGATTATGTCACGGTATTAAATTGTTCTCTAATAAGGGGAGGGGAGATAGTTTGTAGGCGACCGGGTAGCTTAGTCAGTAGAGCCGCAGTACGGTATTCCGAGGATCCCAGGGATGAGTCAAGTATGTAAAGGATCAATTGGGAGGGATCCTTTTTAGAGAAACCTCAGATGATTCCTACAGTGTAGAATTACCGTCTGAATGTAAGTGTTGTATTGTAAGTGTGTATTGCTTTGAAACTTGAACATCTTATCTCTAATTAGTGTTGTACAACTAAATCCTACCGTCTGTTTAGGCCTTAAGACAGTCTGACTTCCCTGAATACTTGGCATATTTTAGATTTTTGAATATTGTTAAAGTGGGATCATTTTTCAATGGATGTGTGTATTAAGAAATGATATTTGTTCTTGGATTTATGTGATTATATGTAATCATAATTGGTATGATTATCTTTAGTGTTCTGGCTCTGTAATTGGTGTATAATCTTGCATTATGCTTTTATAAAAGATTCAGTTGTTGATTTTTTGGGGATATCCTTAAAAGATTTTCTGTTAATTGTTGTGCAGCAATTTTAATTTTATTGTCTGTATTGCATAGTCTTCTCATTCTTACAGTTTTACTGTATGGGATATTTCTTCTTTTGGTGACATGTATGGAAAGTGTAGTAGTGGAGAAACTTAATTATGTGCTTTGGTTGGATTTGTGCATTTTAGGTATAGTTGATAGTTTCCCTGTTGTGACATGTTCAATTATAATTACTTACAGGTATTAGAAACTATTCAGGAAGAAAATATATATTAATGTATGTGCCAATAATGTCATTTCTTTTTCAGATGATCCTACTTCATTAGATTTATGCTGCAAAGCAATGGTCAGTTCTGTGTTACGTTTTGGACATCAAACCAAAAGAAAACTCGAACGTATACAGTTCCTTTCTAGAGATAGCAAAGCATTAACAACATTGATGCTTGCAATGTTAGAACAGCTTGAAAATGGTAATGTAGAGTAAAGTACATGTAAAAATAGTCTATTCTGGCCATTCAATATGATTTGCTATACATCCTTAGTCTCAGTTATTCTAAAGAAATGTGAAGTTTGTCTCTAATGGAAAGTCAATGAGAACAAGATGCAAAGAAGTTTTGGTTTGACTTATGGTCATGGATAGTTGGATACTAGTTTTTCTCAATTTTAATATCAGCATACACTTGTGTCTACAAACCAGAACAAAAGTGCTGTTTGGTAACGACAAACTGTAATTAAGATGAATTTGATCATATGAATTTAAAATGAACGTAACACCGATCTAATGTTAGAATTGCATACCTTTATGGTTTGTTTTACTTTGAAAACAGACAGTATATTAGCTTCTTTTTTCAAACAACATCTAATATTTCTGGGCTGATACGAAAAATCCTTGGCAGGGATGCTTTTCTTTGAAGCCTTATCATAGAATGTTCAAATGAGTCATTTAATAGGAATGGGCAATAGCCCACTAGGATAAAAGCCTGCTTAGAGCCTAAGGACTTATCCCTCTAGACAATTTTCCACTAGGAAAATAGTCCACTAGACTATATCCAGTCAGGACAATATCCCTGACTGGATAGTATTTCCACTTGAACATAGCCCAATAGAACAATATCTCACATCAATCAACAATTATCCCACTGGACAAAAAAACCCGCTGCTTAATTTGGCTGGTAGAAGAATAGCCCACTGCTTATTAAAAATGGTCCAAACATATTTATGATACATGTATATAAATTATTATGAAAACAATATAATTATGAGTTAATTATTGTTTATGCATATTTCAACTCAAAACTTGATTTATAGTTACATAAAGTTTAACTTTTGTTTCACAGTCTAAATGTTTAATTAGAAGAAATATGTAATAAATTCACAAAAAGAGTACATATTCTGTTGAATGAAAGTTGTAGCCATAATTAGCTCACCTGAGAACTGAATGTTCAGGGGAAGCTATTAGTATAAAAGGGGATATTTGGTGTCTGTCGTCATGCGTCAAAAATCATCTTCTTCTCTGTAACTGCTGGGCAGATTTACCTCAAATTTGGACCAGGAATGTAATTTCTGATGTGCATTGAATTAAGATAACAACTGTTAGGAATCTGTTCAAACAATTATGCTACATTATGTCATATTTTGTAATTTAAAGTTATGTCATTATTTATCTATTTTAATCAATAACTAGGATATATCTAATCATAATCAAGGGAAATGATCTTGATAAGTCTTTAAGGTTTCCTTGACAACTAGGAAAGGGTCATCACTCTTGTTCAGCTAAATAAGAACTAATTATTTTCAACATTTTAACAAGTATTCATATCTTCTTATGAGAATTTTCTTTGTGGCCCCGTTTAAGCTTAAATGCCCCATTGGTCATGGCATTTCTTCAGATTATAGTTTAAAGATATTCTATGCTCAAATTTAATTTTAGATTTTTTTTGATTTTTTTTATTGACAATGGGTAAATTACAATGGATAATTTTCAACACTGATAAGGATTTGTGTCTGATGATCGACTCAGGGCCATCATGGCCCTCTCAATGTTTGATGTACAGACTTGAAATCTGGACAAAGATGTATATTGAATTAAAAAATTTGTTGACCAAAACTGTTAATTTCAAACATCTACAACTTACATATTTTGCATGTGACATTTTCTGTACTTATTCATAAATTTAAGTTATAAAAAAAATTGTCTGATCAAAATTAACCCTGCTCTAGTGGTCATTTATTCTGCATTAATTCTACATAGTCTCATAGGTACACACTTACAACATAGATATTTTTAACAAAGCCTTTCCAAAATATTCAGCAAAATATTCCAATTTATATAGTGTATAAAGAAATGATGGGTTAGATAAGTGATCTAGGGTCATCTTAGTGGCCCTATTGTTTATAATGTAGAAAAAAACAAAAACAAAAAAAACAATCAGTGTTGTGAAAGTATATTACTAGAGGAGCAAGTTAAAGTTAGAGCTGAATTTACTGAAAGAGCTGGACTTGCCTTTCAGCAAGTTCATTTGAAAAATAATTTCAACCACTGAAAAACAGTAACTGTTGTTTCTGGTGAGCGACTCAGGGCCCTCTTGTTTAAAAATATATTATTGCAGAAATTATGCATATAAGTGGGCTGCTGTCCTAGTGGGACATTGTACATGAGGGGGCTTTAATCTAGATTGTCACAGAAGGCTTGGTTATTGTCAAATGGGCTATTACCTTAGTGGGTTCATTTTACTTGATGCACATTTCAGAAAACAAACAAAAAATACAAAAACAAATAACACAACCCCGCCAATCCCCCCCCCCCCCTCCCCCCCCCGAAAAAACAAACAAAAAAAACAAAACATGTATGGCCATTACTATTTAAGAAAAACTTTGGCCTTGAATTTAAATTGTAAAGATGTAGCCTAGTTGAAGCATAGTATGTTATAACATAATTATTGCATTTCAGGTAAAATAAAAGTTGCTTATTAATTCTGTTTGAAAATGGAGTTGCTGCTGAAACAGTGAGGACAATATCATGCTAGGATATGTTGAATTTGGACTAACAGAGAACAAGACTTTATTACACAGTGTAAAACTTCCAACAAATTTAATTAATATCATTAGGAGTTTATGTGATGCCATCAACTCAACAAATTCAACAATACTATTAGAATATTATTAAACAGTGGAGTGACATTGCATTTCTAAATGTTTAAATGAAATTGTGTATGTTTCATTATGGACCATTTGTATATTATGTAATAGTTCATAATTTGTTATTAAAATAACATTTGTTTTGGTTTTAAAAGTATAGATACTATGTCTTATGAACTTAAATTGTTTTGTTTGTTTATTTGTTTGTTTTTTACCTTTGTATTGTTCTTTTTTAGCAAAGCAAAACTATGCAAAGACAAATTAGACAGAAATTTGTAAGAACTTGTATATGTATTTATATTTGAAAATGATTTATGAAAACCTATCAATTTTTTGAG